CCCAAATATTTTTTGAAATAACGGATGTGCTGTTTTGGCATCCCAGTAACCTTCGTTCAATGAGGGTTAAGGGATGTCTCGAAATAGTGCATTATTTCAAAATTTGGCACTGTGTAGATGCACCAAATTTCAAAATAGATTTGAAATAAGATATGCAATGTGCATAGCGCAAATTGTGTATCTTATTTTGTGTTTAGGGTGATGCGCCCTTAAATTCTTATCTGGTTTAGCAAACAAGAGCATGCTTCAGTGGCGGAAAGCAGTGTAGTAAACATCTCTGTTAACCAAAAATGGCACAACTGACTGCTTACTACACAATGATGTACTTTTGTGTGAAGTATATGTTGCTATCACATCCACACAGTTCACTTCACTGGTTAATTCCCCGTCTTCTCCAAATGCAGTGCTATTGAGAGGGCCAAGATAAGACCATTGCACCAACTCTACCCCCTTGACTTCTCCTAAGAAGAGAATGGCACAGTGGCTGTGGCTTTTTGAATAGAGGTGAATTTCACCCACAATTGTAGAGGAGTGTTGAATTTCTTTGTGTGACTGCTGCTACTTAGTTCCCGTCTCACAGCGGAATTATGGCATTTTAATTTAAATTTGAGCCATCCGCAGCTACAGAGGTTCCAAACATGTTTCATCACATATCCGTTGACAAAAATTGGCTTACTTGAGTGCAGCTGCTGCCAAATTACTGAGAGTAAAACTTTTCATATTGTTAAAATCAAATACTTCTAGATAATGTCTGAAAAACAGTGTAAATGCAGACTAGTTGGCTTTAGTCAACACCCTTTAACTATAGCAAGTTGGTTTGGCGTATGAGAGATTTGTTGCTTTTACCTATGGGGTACGTCTACACTGGCCCCTTTTCCGGAAGGGGCATGTAAATTTCATGAGTCGTCGTAGGGAAATCCGCGGGGGATTTAAATATCCCCCGCGGCATTTAAATAAAAATGCCCGCCGCTTTTTTCCGGCTTTTAAAAAAGCCGGAAAAGAGCGTCTAGACTGGCCCCGATCCTCCGGAAAAAGTGCCCTTTTCCGGAGGCTCTTATTCCTACTTTGAAGTAGGAATAAGACCCTCCGGAAAAGGGCACTTTTTCCGGAGGATCGGGGCCAGTCTAGACGCTCTTTTCCGGCTTTTTTAAAAGCCGGAAAAAAGCGGCGGACATTTTTATTTAAATGCCGCGGGGGATATTTAAATCCCCCGCGGATTTCCCTACGACGACTCATGAAATTTACATGCCCCTTCCGGAAAAGGGGCCAGTGTAGACGTAGCCATGAAGAAAAGACTAGAAAAGATTATTCCAGTTCTTGTTGTTGTTCTCTCTTGGCTGTTTTTGTTGTATAAAGTTTGCACTTCTTGCTGAAATATTAAACAGCTCCTTCATAAAATCGAAGGACATTTGCACATATGTGGATGAGCAGGCTTGCAATGTACTCTTGTTCAGTTGATAGGCTAATCCCATCCAAAAGAATGAGAATGTTACAGAAAATGCTTTTTAAAACATTATATTAAAATGTCGTGAGCAATATTTATTAAACAACCCAAGCTATTTACTATAACAAATGTATTATTTTATTACAGCGATGAGCCTTCTGGGGAGCTGCAAGTGAGTCTAACCATTGTTAAATAAAGGTGTACATAACGGTAACATTTTCTCTGATAGTCAGCAGCCTTCTCTACAGTTTATATTGTTTGAGATAGATACCAATGTCATGAACATTGGTACTAACTGTTTTATTATCAAGAGGCTGCACTAAAGGAGTGATGTGGTTGCCTGGTAGGCTTCAATGCATAACACATTAATGCCCTAGTTAAAGCTGATTAGCACAGTCTCAGTTGTACCTGTGTATACATGTATGGAAGGAAGAAAAATAGACTATGGTTTGGATACTTGTTGCAATTATAGCAAGGTCTCACATTGGAATGTGGAATTTTTCCTTTAAGGCAATAATATACTAGGGATGTTAAAATTAGTTTGTTTATGCAATTGTGTAACTGCTGAAAAATTTAGCAGGGGAAGCTCCCACCTGTTCACCCTCCCCCTCCCCCCACATTGCTGCCTCTGATACAGAGGAAGCAGCATGTTGGGAGAGGCAGCTCCGTGGGTGCTGGTACATGCAGGGATCTGGGTTTTAAGTTGGCGTACCAGCTCCCGCCTTCCCCCCCTTCACACTGCTGCTTCTGATACAGAATCAGTAGCATGGTGGGATGGTGCAGGTCTCCCTGCTCGCATCGGCTCCTGCCTGCCTCCTCCCCACTGCTGCCTCTGATTTAGACAGTATACATCAGAGATAAAATCTGTAAAATGGATTACTGAGTTTTATACTCCAGTGATATGCATTTGTGATCTGTGAAAGTCTGCACCTGGTTAAACATTGGTCACAGAAAGAATTCTATTTTGTTTGTCAGATAGGCCAGTTCTACACCAGGAAAATTACCCGCTGCTGATAGCAATTGTCAGCATGGATGCAGCCAAACAGCTGCTGAATACAGGTTAACCGTAGTGATAGACCAAGACAAATTACGTATAGCACCACTTCAGAAAGCTATGAGGACATGTTTTAACAATAGTTTTCTGAACCAGAAGTGAGCAAGATATGTCTTGATCTTCAGTTGCAGTAAAACTGTGTTCAGGACCAATTCTTCTCCTCTAACAGCAATAGGTACATTTATTAGCATCAACCAGTACTTGAATATTACTAGATGATTTTTACATTCTATAATAGAATTCAATTTTTGGCACTCTTGCACAGTGTCAGCTGTCTTCATTAATATCCTCAAATCTTTATTAAAATACAATAGGGGCTCGTCTACACTGGCCCCTTTTCTGGAAGGGGCATGTTAATTTCACCTATCGTAGTAGGGAAATCCGCGGGGGATTTAAATATCCCCCGCGGCATTTAAATAAAAATGTCCGCCGCTTTTTTCCGGCTTTTAAAAAAGCCGGAAAAGAGCGTCTAGACTGGCCCCGATCCTCCGGAAAAGCGCCCTTTTCCGGAGGCTCTTATTCCTACTTTGAAGTAGGTATAAGAGCCTCCGGAAAAGGGCGCTTTTTCCGGAGGATCGGGGCCAGTGTAGACGCTCTTTTCCGGCTTTTTTAAAAGCCGGAAAAAAGCGGCGGACATTTTTATTTAAATGCCGCGGGGGATATTTAAATCCCCCGCGGATTTCCCTACTACGATAGGTGAAATTAACATGCCCCTTCCGGAAAAGGGGCCAGTGTAGACGTAGCCTAGGTGTTTAAAACACTAGTTTTAAAGTATTTAATGGAACAGTGTCTTATAATTGATATCTACATGCATTTGAACAAAGTTAAATATTAAGCTTAATGTTAACATTATATTGCTTGTATTAAGGTGATGGAGTAGTGACAGTATTGACCATAACACATTTGTAGTCTACACTTGCTTCCAAACAGCTTTGAAGTTTGTCCAAATTTACTACCCTTTTCTCTCCCCCTCATATTAAACCTTGATGCTTAAGATAGGTTGTCCCTTACCACTAGGGATGTAATAATGTAGTTGATTAACCAATAAGAAAAAGTTTATAGGTTAGTGCTATAGCCTATACGCATTTCCCCTGTGACCCTCACCAGTACATTTTTAGCAGGCTGGCCAGCAGCCTGTCTCAGGCCTTGCTTGTGCTGGGTCTGGAACCTACCTCTGCTGTAGCTCTGCATTTAAAGTGTATTGGTAAGTAGGTCTGGGTAGGGAGCCTGGCTCAGTTCCAGCTCACTCCCGGTCCAAGAGGTCAGACCCACCCCTGGACAGGGGCTACTGCCACCCACTATCTGAGGCGTTTGGGAGTTTGGGTCCAGGGAGCTTGGGGTGAAGGATGGTGTTCATGACTGAGGCAGAGGTTTGGAGCTGGCTCCAGCTGGACACTGCTTACGTCAGGTGGCTCCTGTGTGGTGGTACAGTGGGGCTAAGGCAGGCTTATACCTGCCTTGGCCCTGCACCACTCTCAAAAGCAGCCAATCTCCCTCCATTCCAAGCCCTGTTGTGCCTGTGGAGATAGGATACAGGGTGGAAGAGGAGGCACCCTGACACTGTTAAGACGCAGTTATTTTGATAGAAAAGCCTACTCTGGAAATAACCCTTATTCCTCATACAATGAGGTTTACCAGTTATTTCAAGAGAAGCGTTTTCTCTCGAAATAACTGCGTCTTAACAGTGTCCGTTATTTTGAAATAGCGCTATTTAGAAATAGCGCCATAACGTGATTATGCAAATGAAGCATGGGATATTTAAATCTCGGCTTCATGTGCAATTTTGAATGTCAAAAGAGGGTACAAGTATAGACATACCCTCCTTGGGTGTCTGGATTCTGAGTTCATTTTCATACTGTTATATTAGGGCTAGATTCTGTACCTGATTTCATCTCATCCCTCCTCAGTTCCTGTGTGGTTCCAGGTACTACTGTCAGCATTACAGTAGTGGAGTGCTTGTGCTTCCCACTGAATGTTGCTGGTCCCTATGCGGATAAGCAAGGAGGAAAGGTGTGCTGGAACTCTCTTCCCCAGTTGTAATTTGAATCTTACTGTGTAACCATTAACATGTTTGTTTTTACATTCATAATGCAAGAGTGACATACAGCTCTATAGATGAACAATAAACATAGAATAAGGAACTTACATTATAATATTTTTCCAGTCAAAACAGCTGTCACATTTGATCTTGCTAGTGTAAATGGTGATAATTTTCAGGCTTCAGTTTGAAAATAGACATTTTAAATGAGCATATGGGTTGTTCATGAACACAACCATGTAATAGCAAGACTTCATTAATTTTCTACACTGGTTGTTCTCCATAGAGTTCCTGATTATTGTCAGAACTTTTATGTATACCGTATTGGGTATCACTGACAGATTAAAAGCTTCCAGGCACATTCTGTTGAGAAGCAAGAATCTCTTTAGGTGTGGTGCAGTTTTATAATAAAATTCCAGGAGATGACATGGCCTTGTCAGCAAGATTATAGGGATAACTGCAAAATGTCGGCATTATCAGATAGTTGGCAAGAGAGCAGAACACCACGAAGCCATGAAAGCTGTAGGTGGGGCACCTATCTGCAGGCAGCATATCCAAATATATATAGTCAGGCCTTTAATTTTTCTACAGTCTGTCCTCAAAACTACAGAGTGCCCTGTGGTTTGCTATTCAAAGAGGTTTTCTTAACTACGAGTTAAGATTTTGGAGAGCTTGGAATTGTGAAATTTGTAGTGGTCTGTGCTGACAAGTAAAAATGGTAAGAAACACATGTACAGTAAACAGCCATTTTGAAGACTTAGTCTACACTATCATGGGCCATCAAACTTGTTACACAACTTCATGTAGCTTCATGTAGCTGAAGTTAACCTACTGAGATCTATTTACCACAGTGTCTTTTACCACAGAAAAGCAACAGCTGACGTTCTCCTGTTGATGCTCTCCCATTGACTCTGTCTGTGGGTACGTCTAGACTATGTGCCTCTGTCGCCAGCTGTCTGTGGGTACGTCTAGACTACGTGCCTCTGTCGCCAGAGGCATGTAGATTAGGCTACGAGACATAGGAAAAGGAAGCGGCGATTATTTAAATCGCCGCTTCATTTAAATTTACATGGCTGCTGCGCTGAGCCGACAAACAGCTGATCAGCTGTTTGTCGGCTCAGCGCGATAGTCTGGACGCGCGGGTGTCGACATCAAAGGGATTTGTCGACCACCCAGGTATGCCTCCTGGGATGAGCTGTTTGTCGGCTCAGCGCGGCAGCCATGTAAATTTAAATGAAGCGGCGATTATTTAAATCGCCGCTTCCTTTTCCTATGTCTCGTAGCCTAATCTACATGCCTCTGGCGACAGAGGCATGTAGTCTAGACGTACCCTGAGCTTCTCATTCTGATGGAGCAGTGGAGTCGGCAGGAGACTGCTCGGTGTTTATTGACTCCCCCTATATCGATTGCTGCCCATCATTCCAACGGATAGCGTAGACATACCCTAATGCCTATATCAAATACTGTAAGTGCTGAGGGCCATTGTCCATTGCCCAACTCCTTTTATTGACTGATGGGAAGCATCTCTTTTGGAGATGAACTGGGTCTAGTACTGACTCTCAAGTCATCAGATCTCTGTTAAAGTAACTTGGGCACAAAATGTAAACTTTGCAAATTAGGAGTTCCAAATCCAAATAGAAATAGGAAAGTTTTAATGAGATTCTTTAAGAAATAATCCTGAACAAACAAAAATCAAAACAATAAAAACAGTTTTGTATTTCGTTATAAGCATATAAGATGACAACCTGGCCTATTGAAGTCAATGGCAAAACTGCCAGTGACTTCCATAGGTCATGGATTTATTTTACACACATGTCCTTTGAGATCAGGTAAAATAAATCGAACAGATCGCTGAACTTGTTCCTAAGAACCAAAAGGTGAAGAAAATCACAAATATAATGTCAAACTAGCCATTCAGATATCGAAATGGAATGAAATGGAAAAAAACTGTCCAGATATCGAAATGGAATGAAATGGAAAAAAACGTTTCTAGCGAACACGAATCTAGGACCTGGTTCTATGTTTACTGCTTCTGAACAGTCATCTTATTATGCCTACAGATTGTGCACTCATCTAGTCTGTGTAAACCCTCTTGTTGTTCTTGTCCCATTCGCATCTGCTTGTTCATTATACCCAGCTTTTACAGTATCTAAGACTGTCAGCTCTTTGGGGCAGTAACTGTTATTTACTATATGTCTGTATAGGTTCACACCACTGTACACCAATATAACGCAAATAACAAATAATAATAAAATTAGCCACTGTGTTACTTCAATTTTACACCAGTATAACTCCAGTGATTTCAGAGGAATTTGGTGGATGACATCTTCTCTTGAATATAAAAACTGGTGTGGTCCATTTGTGCAAGTTGAGCAGATATCCAGAGCATTTTCATTGTCTTGTGAAGCTAAATAGTAATGAACACATTTGGCCCTGAGGAGATGTAAACAGTACACTATAGTGAAAATGTGTGCATAGTAGTAGTTGGTATAGCTGAAATGTGGAATTAGATTGGCTTTCAGGAATTCCACACTTTGTTATTTTGCCACTCCACCCTTCAGTGGCTTCTTCAGCATCTTGTTTCCCCTTTATTTAAAACACCACCTAAATGTCTAGCAGTTTAAAAATACCATAGATTCTCTCCCATGGCCAGCTATCACAATTTAGAATATTCCTTTTTGGAACTGTAATTGATACGATTGTCAGTGTAGATATGTATTACTTTACAGAATGATGAGCTGATGATACCTGTAACATATAAGAATATGTGCAGAGATGTTTTAGTATAGCCTACATTGGAGAGACCTTCCAGCACCACTATCTATTTAAATACTGTTTGCTGTTGAAAAAGAGTTGCCATCACCACATTAAAATACCATTTAAGTACCACTAGACTTTGTGGGTTTTTGATAAAAACAGAAATTTTTCAAAGTTGGTGCCTTTTATACCACAGGGAAGCTTTATAATCCTTTGAAAGAGAGACACAAAGGATCCCAAAAGTCTCTTCCAATATTCCCATTTGCCGCAATGGAAATTCTTCCTGAACAAAGACTGACTAAAAACTTAGTTAAGGATTTTAAGATTTGACCTGTACTGTGTAGATCAAAGACATTGCACAATGATCAACTTTTTCTTTCTGACATATTGTTCTGGATTGCATCTATTTTAACATGTTGGAAGCTGCCCTTGGCTTTCTCTCTTAATTGATAAATGAGATCTTGTTAGCACTGGGAATAGGGCCTCCCTCTCCTGTATATTGATGCCTTGATCATTCTAAGTTTTGTTTCTTCTCTCTGAGTAACACTTTGTTCTTTAGAACAATTCAGAGGGCTTATTTAAAGCACTTTTTGTAAATGCAAATGTCAGTGCAGCAGAGAACACTTGTTACACCTTTGAAAGGAAGGCATGGCTCCTGCTCCTGTGTGTTCATCTACTTAAGGCCTCTTCCTGGATTCATCTGGGGTACCTGCTATTGCTAAAGGAGTTACTTCAGATTTACATTGGTGTGAGTGAGAGCAGAATTCATCCCTGCATTCACCATAGAGAGCGAGAATATTTAAAGTTAATTTGGACTTAGTATTGTACTTCATATTTCATTCTAAAAACCAATATTGCATTACAAAATAATGCTACTGACGTAAATGTCCATAGTAGCATTTTATTCCTAGCTGCTCAGTAAAACAGATAACTTAATCTCTAGCTAAGAGAAGATTTGCATCAACTACCTTATAATGCAGTGGTTCCCAACCTTTTTTATACCACAGACCAGCAAACCCATTCACAAACTTTTGGTGGCCTGGCAACATCTTATTTGCATACTCAGTATGCAAGTAATGAATATGCAAATAAGATGTTGCCAGGCCACCAAAATATGTACCCCAGACTCCTGAGCCACCACTAACAGCAGGCTCCAGTTCTGGTAGTTGGCAGCCACGTATCTGGTATATACCCCAACCCTGATCCTGGAACAGACGTCATGGGCATGGCCTGGCAGTGTGCCACGGCCCGGTAGCCAGTGGTTCACGGTCCAGCATCGGTCCGTGGACCAGCATTTGGGAACCACTGTTATAATGAATTCACATGAGGAACACGAGGTGTTTTCAGTTCTTTCCTTATACTTTGTTTATATTTTTGCTGTTTTAGAGACATACATTTTTCTTGTATCCTATTTATATACATACTAATGTATTGTCTGATAGAAATTCAGTTCTTTTGATACAAGGGTCCTTTATATGAGCAATGTTATTTTTAATTGCTGTGTGAATTGAACATTCCTGCAATCCTTAAAACAAGGGGGAGAAATATAGAAAAACCTGCTTTAGTATTTGCTTGGGATGATTATTTATTAATTATAGATTATTTATATGTGTTTGTGCAGATATTCTAGTTTCTTAACCATATATAGGGAGGTTATGCTACTTTCTCTGTGTTTTGTATTTGAAAATTGGGCTAACTGTTCAAGAATATAAGGATTGCAGACCGTGGATGTGCAGTAGCATTTCGTGCTGAACTGTATGATTTATATTATACAATAATTACTTAAGAAGAATAGCTTCAGTACCTCCTTTTCTCTGTGTTCATGTGTAATTCATTTTGAGGACATGTGCTTAAGTGAAAGGGATAAATTCATCCATAAGTCTATTGATTTCAGTGAAGCAGCACCAGTGTAAGCTTGGCTCTATGTGCAGTGAGATATACAAAATAAATCATGTTGGCATCACTAAGAACTCAAACAATGTTTCTTAAAACTACTAAGAAATAGATTGTGTGTTTAGGCACAGCTCTGAATGTGTGTAAACCTCCAGGTTAGGAGTAATACAGGGAGGCATTGTGCCTCAGAGACATGCTTCAGAGGCACAATTCACTCCCAGCTGCCCCCTTGCAGGGATTCAGATACTGATTTATTGCTTATGCAAGCAGTAAGTTGCAACAGCCCTCACATTGACTTAAGTGTGCTGGTAAACATGCTCAATAGAGGCAGAGACCCACTTTTCCCAACTGTCCTGTTCTAGAGGTCCAGGGTCATCTACCTGCTATACTCCTGGACCCAAGGTTCAAGTAGCCTGTGCAGGGGGGCCCAGGAGGTTTTTTTACAGCTAAATACAGTACCCAAAACTACAGTCTCTCTCTTTGGTATTTTAAAAGATATTTATAATAAAAGGATTCTGCATTTGACTGACCCTCTTTAAAGGAAGGAACATATTGAGACCCTAACTTACTGTCAGTGGTCTTTTGATTGTGGCCATTTGATTACATCTTTATCTTAGCCAGTATTTTTTTTTGTCTTAATACTCAGAATTGCTGAGACAGCTTTTATTGAATATTCTTACTGCATCTGGAATTCCTATGCACATTTAGGTTAATGTTTTCCTAGTGACCTGAAATCTGAACAGTATTTGTTGGGGTATACATCTTTTTCTGAGGGTGTGTCTAGACTACATGGCTCCAGTGACGGAGCCATGTAGATGAGTTTACCAGACATAGTTTCACGAGGCATACCGGAGCGGTAGACAAAGGCTTCC